TGTCAATAATCTTAATTTCAGCTGTCAATAATCTTTATATTAGCTGCCAATAATCTTAACGTACGCTGTAAAAACCCTTAACATTAGTTGCCATAATCTTAACATCAGCTGTCAATAATCTTTATATTAGCTGCCAATAATCTTAACGTACGCTGTTAAAACCCTTAACATTAGTTGCCATAATCTTAACATCAGCTGTCAATAATCTTAACATACGCTTCGAATAATCTAAAAATTAGCTGCCAATAATCTTAACATCACCTGCCAATAATCTTAACATCACCTGCCAATAATCCTATTATCAGCTGTCAATAATCATAACATCAGCTGACTATAATCTTAACATCGGCTGACAATGGTCTTACAGTGGCATTTTTTATATAGATTATTAAATTTAGCATATCCGTTTTTGGAATACTACAATTGTACGTCTAGGTGCATCAAATATTCGTGCACAATCACAATCACGTTTATCATTAATCCCTTCTTAAAGATCGAAGATTATAGAGTCTAGCATTTACACGAAGAAAAATGCCTAAAATTCCATACTTGATGGTTTGAAAAATGAATTGGAAATTCTTCTTAACAAATATTTTTTTTAATATATTTGAGCTCAGGGGTGGGGGTAGGGTGGGTGGGGAAGGTTTGTTTCAAAAAGATACACCAGAAGATATTTATAGAAATCTCGCTCGCCCTCTCTCTCTCTCTCTCTCTCTCTCTCTCTCAGTGGGTCTCTAAGTCTCCCTGTCTCTCATTTGTGTGAGAGTACCTCTCTTTCTTTCCGTCTGTGTGTGTGTGAGTGGGTGAATGAGAGGCGAGCGATTGAGTGAGTAAGTGAGTTATTTAGGGAGTGAGCGATTGAGTGAGAGAGTGATTTAGAGAGTGAGCGATTGAGTGAGTGAGTGATTTAGGGAGTGAGCGATTGAGTGAGTGAGTGATTTAGGGAGTGAGCGATTGAGTGAGTGAGTGAGTGATTTAGGGAGTGAGCGATTCAGTGAGTGAGTGACTGAGCGTGTGTGTGTGATTGAGTGAGTGAGTGTATGAGTGATTGAATGAGTGATTGAATGAGTGAGTGAGTGAGTGGCGACCGAGAGAGAGTGGCTTTTTTATGGAATTAAGGTCAAGACGCGTTCTTGGTGCGTATGTGCACACACGCCTATGTATGGGATATATCTATGTGTGAGATACATTTATGTGTGGGATATAGATAAGTATGGGATATATCTATGTCTGGGATATATCTTTGTGTGTGATATATATATATATATTTATAGATGGCATATATCTATATGTGGGATATATATTTATATGTAAGATATATCTATATGTGGGATATATCTATGTTTGGGATATATCTATGTATGGGATATATCTATGTGTGAGATATATATATGTGGAATATATCTGTATGTGGGATATATCTATGTGTGGGATACGTCTGTTTTGGATATATCTATACATATGGGATATATCTATGTGCGGGATATATCTATATGTGGGATTTTTATAATTGGGATATAGCTATATGTCTGTAAAAATAAATATTTTTTAGAAAAATAAAGGCAAAAACGACTGGTCTCTTATCATCGAAACAAGGCGGAAAACGGACTGTCAAGTATGGGACACATTTTGCGGTTAGATTCTAGACCACATGACCTACTTGCTCAACTCAGACAGGAGATAAAGACAGATTTTTATAGTGAGCCACTCAACAGGTCAAAATCCATTATTGTGTCTTTTTTTCTCAACTCTGCACGATGGGGAATTTGAAGAAAGTTGGACTGAGAACAAAATTTAAAACAAAAATATTATTATTTATTTTTTTAAAATAATCTTATAACAAAAACTAAAATTCCCACACGCAAAGTCGTAGGTGGTGATCTTAGTTTTTTTGTTGTTTTTTGTTGTTGTAAAAATGCTGTTGATTTTCTCTCAAGAGATAAGCTCAGCACTGTATTATTTGTGTCTTCTTTACCTCTATGTTACAAACTGATACCAAATACTTGAACATAATTAAATGTGTTTACAATAATTGTAGTCTTTAGTTCTTTTTGTTAGTCGTGAGAGCAAAAAGTTTTAAGCTTTATAACATTAATTTACTATAACTACGCTAAAATGAAACATAAAAAAAAAAAAAAAAAGAATTTAATGAATATCTTTTATTTGGTTAGAGGCTATATTTTACGAATTATTTTGTTTACCATAGTTTTTAAATATTTATGGGCTGAACTCTCTCTCTTTTTTACATTTTTTGTTAGAGGGGAATAGTTATACTTTATACTTACCCACAAAGCTGAGCTCCGCAACCGGTCTGCCTCCACACACTTGTGTGCCGCGAGATGATGTTGCGTTACGTGTGCCGCGAAAAAATGCCTCTAACACAGCGGTTCTCAACCTGTGGGTCACAACCCCTTTGCGGGTCGAACGACCCTTGCATAGAGATCGCCTAAGATCATCGGAAGAACATAATTTATGGTTAGGGGTCACCACAACGTGAGGAACTTTATAAAAGCGTCGTGGCATCAGGAAGGTTGAGAACCACCGCTCTAAGAGAAGGAAAGGCGGAGCATTTGTAGGTACGTCAAAATGCCATAACTGTGTTGTTAGTAAAGGGGCATTGGTTAGTCCATTTAACAATCTTTTCGACTCAGCAAATGTTTCCAATACAGACAGTTAATATAGATCAATGCACTGTAATATTATATCTTGTAGCATTAAACTCCATTATGAATGTTAAATACATTATGTTATTTATTGTATTCTTGAATGGTTTTACTTGTGGTGTGCCGCGGAATTCTCGGAAAGGTCCACAGTGTGCCGCAGGAGGAAAACATTGCTTAACTCTACCATAGAATGCCGATCATCATTCGAAAGAGTCTGTAGACAAATGGCGAGCAGCATTCATAACTAAGTCTTAAGTTTACGCAGCTAAGTCTTAAGTTTACGCAGCTGAGTCTTAAGTTTACGCATTTAACCCTACAAGCCATCCAATTTATTCGATGCATCATAGACACTATTTTCTCACCATATGGTATGTACATTATTTGTCTCTACTGCGCAGTTCACGCGATCAAATTTTGGTCAAATTTTTTTTTTGAAAGCACTATGCTGTAACAGAAAATAGTGCGTCCAAAAAGAAATTTGGCGACAATTTGATCGCATGAACTGAGCCTTTTCATAAGACAAGGAATGATGCAGCACGTTTTCTTCTGACTACCCACATAATATTTTATTATAAATGCCTTCAAGTCAATTTCTCTCACTTCTCTATATTTAACACAGGCTTTGGCTGATTTATATATTTATTTTGTGCAAGAAATTAATATCCTTTTAGCGGGCGCTATATCGTTCTAAGAATCATTGAAAACGGGCTTTGAAATTTTTCTCCCAGTTTATTTCGAAAAAAAAATGCTGGAATATTTTACTTTTCTTTTAACGGGTTTCTTTAGGGCCAATAGAACAGTAACAAATAAAATACCGATGTTTTGTTTTGGGGTGGGCGGGATTAGAGTTTGGATTAATTTTATGATATCTTAAAACAATTATGTCAAGGGGCTGATTTCTTTTTGGTTTGTAACACCTAAGTTTTAGTAGAGAACACTTACAAATACAAATATATGTGACCCCACTACTTAAGTCTGATAAAAATCCAAGAGCCTGTCTCGAGCATGCAGACGTAACTAGCCAAATAAAGGGTCCACAATTTTCTTAATTTCAAACAATTAGGGTCTTTTCTGCTCAGCTCTGTCCTGCTCAGCTCTGTTCTCTGCAGCTCTGTTCTCTGCAGCTTTTTTCTACTCAGCTCTGTTCTCTGCAGCTATGTCCTACTCAGCTCTGTTCTACTCGGCTATATTCTACTCAGTTATATTCTACTCAGGTCTGTTCTACTCAGCTCTGTTCTCTGCGGCTCTTTTCTGCTCAGCTATGTTCTTAAAGTTAACTGACAAGCCGATAGATAGATGAGCACCACCCCACATTTTTGTTAGAAATGACTGAGCAGCGTTCGCTCTCCTTTTATTCTTGACATGTCACTTTCAAAACAGACAGTATTTTGTAATGCACAGAAAGTATGCTATCATTAATATGTTTAACACGTGCCATGCAAAAATCATTATTTATTTTTATTTTCTTTGTTGTCTTTGTAATCGTGGCTTGGGTATCTCATGGGGTGAATAGTAAGTCATACATATCCTGGACGTCACATATTTCTATTTTATAACGGACATTTGCATCCCACGCTGACCAATAGGGAGGACTAAAGTCATGGGGCCCCTGTTTGCCGTTGATGAAAATGTTTATCTAACTTAAATCATAATTTAAAACGCTTTGCTGGGCTCGTGATCATTATAGGTTAAAATGGTATGTTAAAATGGTAGGTTAAAATGGTAGGTTAAAATGGTAGGTTAAAATGGTAGGTTAGTGGTAGGTTAAAATGGTAGGTTAAAATGGTAGGTTAAGATATGAAACAAGTGTTCGGTCAGTTATTTAGCAATTATAATTCACAACGATAGACAAGTAATTAAAATAATTTGTAGAAAGGGGGGGGGGGGTTATTACCACGTCATGCAGCTTTAATCTCTGATCCAAGTTTTTAATTCAAATCATCAATCATCAATCCTGTCTATAACAGCCTGTAGATTGGGAAACTCCTTCATGAAAATAAACATAATTCATGTTGTGGATCCAAGCACTGCTTCACGTTGTAACTCGCAACATTAATGTTCTTATTTAAGTTTGAATACTACAAAGAAGTCAATGATTTTTTTTCAATTAAAATAAACTGAACAATGCGTCACGAATAAGCTCGTGTGCTTCGTTGTCTAGGGGCATGATAATTTACCAAGACACTGTCACTGTACACTAGTACATAAGAGTACATCAACATTGGACTCAAGAGTTATTAGTGGTTATTAATAATGAACTTTATTATTATATCTATTACAATTTAATCTAAGTAATCTCCCATTAGTAATGTGGGTTTCTGCTAACAACCACACATACTACATGGATCACAACACTATTTACTACCACTACTACAAACACCAACTAACAATAACACCAACTCTGACACTGTCATCGTCCTACCCCACTCGCTCTCCCAGCTCTACTGACCAACAGCCCACCTGCACACACTGCCGTACTACCCGCTTTGCCTTTGTATCCTTACGCCTATAGTTAGAACGCCTGGCACAAAACAGACGCTCAAGGATTCTAACACCTTGACAAAAGGGAACAAAATAATGATCTATTTTCAAAAAAAATATATATATTTACATAATGTGATAAAGTTTACTTGACACAAAGATCAGAGGAAAGAATATCACCAGAGAAAATGTATCAACACCTTGACAAAAGGGAACAAAATAATTATCTATTTTCAAAAAAAAATATATATATTTACATAATGTGATAAAGTTTACTTGACACAAAGATCAGAGGAAAGAATATCACCAGAGAAAATGTATCAACGGATGGCTGTCTTACATCGTGTTTTAAATGACAGTCTTAATTGCCTGTATTTTTAAAAAAACATGTTTACGCAGGACGTGAAGAAATGACAAGTCCATCTCATTCGATCGTCACAGGAATTTCTCCGTTGGTTTTGAGGTCACGGATCCCAGCGATCCCAGTGAACTCTCCCGGGTAGCCCAACAGATCCCAGCTCCACGCACCGGCGAACCCGTTGTCGTAGACGTATCTGAACATGTCCTCGATCTTCATGCCACCGCCATCCTTCTCCCAGAATTCCCCGACCACAATCGGCTTGGTGAGACCGTAATCGGTGGCTGAATTCTGACAATAAGCATTGAAGATGTCATGAGAATCAACATGATATATATAAGAAATCCATCTTGGTGTCTCGATTCTTCTTCGATATCGACATTTCTTCCATTATGGGATTATAAAATGTATTAAATGTGTAAAGGATAATCCAAGATTAATTATAATTTAACTCCTGAAAGTATAAATATAACAACTATTATGGAGTTTATTTGAATGTAGCTTTAGGGTACTTACATTAAATAGAGCAATAAAGGACTTACATTGAAGACGCTATAATGGACTAACATTGAATACAGATATAAGAGACTTACATTGAAGACGCTATAATGGACTAACATTTAAAACAACTACAATGGAATTACATTGAAGTCAACTACAATGGACTTACATTGAAGACAACTACAATGGACTTACATTGAACACGGCTTCATCATCAAATACCTTGTCCACAGAATACGAGTGAAACTCGTAGAAGTCAAGGACACCCTGAGAATGTGTTGAGAAATGCACGTATCATCATGAAACAGTTTGACATCTTTAAAGATATCAAAAATACATTAATTATGCTGCTGTGGATTTATTCAGGGTTTCACTTTAGGAAGTGCATTGCACGTATGAAATATAAATGCGTTCAAATAAATTCAATCAGAGACACAAACGAAAAGAAAAATGCCCCCCCCCCCCCCCCCCCAAAAAAAAAAAAAAAAAAGCCCCCCCCCCCCCCCCCCAAAAAAAAATAAAAAAATGAACACAAGATGTGAAAACACTTGGGAAATAGTGCTCACAATAATGTAGAGACAACTAGATGATGTTTGCCGGAGAGCTGCAACAGGATTGGGATAAGTCGGGAAGACTCACAGAGTGCCCACCCACAACCATCACAAGCTTTCCACCGTTTACGTTCGCGTGACTCACCTCAGATTTGCCACCAGCCTTGACCAGACAGCTGTCGGAAAAGTGGTTGATGGAGTTAAACTTGTCCGTGTTGAGCTTTGGGTTCGAGATCCCGACAGTGACCAGATTTTTAGTGTCAACACCTTTGATGGCAGCGGCCTGCCAGTTGATGAACCTGCCAAGTAAGATGCTTTGTTGTCGTTTTTCAAATAAAATATTTTGTTGGAGCACAGGAAGTTTTTATCAAGTAAGCTCGTCGAAAACCATGCTAGAAACTTTGCTGGACTCTCAATTAAAAAACCACAACAACTTAGTTCCCAGTGTTTGATTGGTTGATTTTACTGTGAGTCGTTAAAAACCTTTCCCGTCTACCTTCATGTTTACTTGTCACTTTGCCATGAAACGAATTTCCACATCAATTTAATGGATAACCTACACAATCATAACTGAGAGTCGCTAAAAGAGGGGGGGGGGCGGAGCGGGGAGTTGAGGTAATAGCTTACTATTAAGAGCTATCCCAGACTTACCTACTTTACCTGACTTACCTGAGTATTTCTTGGAATGTGAATTTCTTGGCTGACCATCCGGCCCCCTTGTCCCGAAGAGCGCTTGAGTCATAGCACGGTTCTGAGTTGACCTGGCGACTCAAGATGACATTAAGTTTTAGATGATTGATGGGAAGGTTGTTTTTATTCTTGTTGTTTTGTTTGTTCTATTGTTGTATGCTTATCATTATTGAAACATAAACTATGAAGTACATTTTAGCAATCTGGACATAGAGAAGGCTTTAGATTATTGGGGCACGTCATGGGCGACAATTGTGTCAGCCAATGCAGTCAGCTCATGGTGTTAAACCCCTCCAGACTCCTCCGTGCACCTTCTGCCAGTCTGCTGACCCGTTGTGGTGATCCTGCTGATATATTTAACTTAAATCTGTTATGAAACCGTCTCGAGCAAGCTCTCTGCAATTAGCCATATTTCCATTTGATATCTCCCCCCCCCCTGGGAGGACGTCACCCGATGCGGGTGTGCACCCCCCTGCACCCACATAGCCACGCCCCTGGGAAACATTAGACATTTGTCTGAGAAAAATCATATAGAACCGTGCTTAGTTTAGAGATACAATATTCAATGTATGGACAGGCTTGTATGTGCATTAACTGCTTTCTTAAGTATGTTTACAATAACATATTATCTAACAGTTATACTGTCACAACCCTGATTAGACGACAAGTCTTGAGGAGAGGTCAGAAGCTAGTATTATTGTCTAAATATTGTCCCTGACGGTGAGTCTCAAGATATTTGGCAAGGAGTCTCCTTAAGCCCGCATTTGTATATTATAGTGTCCATAATTTTGAAATAAGTTCTGCAAATATTAGGACCAATAATTTAAGAGCTGAACCCACGTCTTCAGTGTCCAGCAGACCCACGGGTTCATTTATGACGTCCCACCCACCAAGCGCTGGGTGACCTTTGACGGCCGTGGCCAAAGGTATCAGGGCCTTATCCAAGTACGTCTGCAGCTTGGCTGAGTCACGGATCAGTCCGCTCAGTCTGTTGTGGATGTCATGGTTGACCGCACCGTTCCACAAGGTTGGAAAGACGAAAATGTCATATCTGGCAATTTAAAAAAAAAAAAATGTTGGGAACTTTTAAAAATTATGATATGTAAGGCAAAAAATTCAATAAAAAAGCAATTAGTGATTTTATTCAACGTAAAATTATTTGTATTTCAATGGAAACTATGGGCCGGCCTCTAGGTAAGCAGAGGGTCAATCTTCTGTTCTATATTATCACTGCTACCCCAGGTAATCGAATGACGGCAAGGTGGGCTGCGTTCAGGACCCTTGGCGAGCCGGACCTGGCACATGGGTCTAGTTTTTGGGCCCCGGGTTTAATGAAAACTTAGCATGGAGATAGGTTTCCATTCATTGAAAATTAAAGCCTGCACAATCCTGAAGCCGTACAGGGCTATTTCAAAATATAGAACAGTGAATGCACTTACTGATAGCCCAAGTTCAATAAATCTATGAAGTCCTTGATGAATGTTCCATTGGTGTCAAGTCCTGTAACCATATCGTTGCTGTCAAAGGTTGGGGTTGTCTCCCCCTGCGCGTGGATCCAAACTCCTGGGGGGGAAAAAAGGAGATTTCCGGTGTAGGAACGGAGTTATTTCTCATTGTACCCAATATTTGTGGTTTGGGGAGTGGACCCGGAAACTGATATATTCTACGAACCCAATCATACAGGTTTCTTGGAAGATGATACAATGACCTTAAAGGGGAAAAAAACAGTACCCAATCTGGTGGCGACCTAATCTACTGGTATCCTAATCTGATGGCAATTTAATCTGGTCTAACCTAATCTATTACTAACTTAATCTGGCGGTTCCCTTATCTATTGATAACCAGATCTTGCGGTCCCCTAATCTATTGATAACCGAATCTGGCGGTCCCTCCTAATCTGGTCGCTCTGTCTTGAATTTAACTTAGACCAGTGATTGTGCTCTAACATATTTTCAACTTTACATCTGTTTCAACCCCTTGTGAGGGTGTCAACCAATGCGGTCCGCACCCCGAACCCCATAGTGACGACTAGTGCAGGAGAAATCATAGAAAACATCTCGTATACTAAATGTGCCCTTCGAAAAGTTTATGGATGTAGCTAGGAGGGCATACAGACATCGCCAACGCCCACTGGGCCTAGTCCACGGTGGAACAGGATGGATCGGTGGTTGTGTATATATATACGAACATTGAAATTGTTCAGTTACTTTTGACGCACACAATTCCTCAAAAAGTTGCGCTTCTTACTCAAAGAGTTATCCCAATAACTCAAAAAGTTGCCCTTCTTATTCAAAGAGTTATCCCAATAACTCAAAAAGTTGCCCTTCTTACTCAAAGAGTTATCCCAATAACTCAAAAAGTTGCCCTTCTTACTCAAAGAGTTATCCCAATAACTCAAAAAGTTGCCCTTCTTATTCAAAGAGTTATCCCAATAACTCAAAAAGTTGCCCTTCTTATTCAAAGAGTTATCCCAATAACTCAAAAAGTTGCCCTTCTTACTCAAAGAGTTATCCCAATAACTCAAAAAGTTGCCCTTCTTACTCAAAGAGTTATCCCAATAACTCAAAAAGTTGCCCTTCTTATTCAAAGAGTTATCCCAATAACTCAAAAAGTTGCCCTTCTTATTCAAAGAGTTATCCCAATAACTCAAAAAGTTGCCCTTCTTACTCAAAGAGTTATCCCAATAACTCAAAAAGTTGCCCTTCTTACTCAAAGAGTTATCCCAATTACTCAAATACGTGTGCTACTTACCAAAAAGTGGTTGCCCTACTTAATAAAAAGGAGTTGTCCTACTTTCTGATAGTACTGCCCTACTTACTAATAGAGTTGCCTCCTGACTCCTGTAGCTTCTTAAATTCGGCCTCCGCCGTTGGTCGTCGTTTCTCCCACTGACCGTCGCCAAAGTCGTAGCCGTAGTTAATCCAAGGGAGGTTACCGCCAGACAAGAAAATCTTCTGGCCCTTGTAGGTGAAGTAGTTGTCCTTGACCGTCAGAACGTTTCCGGGCTTGAACGTGCCTTAAAGTTTAGTGTAACGACAATTCATTTGAACATGGGATATTAGTAATTCCCCCACTTTGTTTAGTTTCCGAACTTCTATAAATGCTATTTGTTAAAAAACACTCTAAGGCTCCCCTGAACTATGCTCGAATTATGTCATGGAGGCATAAAAATAATTAGTTTGACTAATTCCTGTTTAAACAGCACATTTTCTTTATTTTGGTCAAATCTTTTTGATTACATTAGATAAGCCTGTTTTTTCTTGTGTTTGTTTGTTGTTTTTTGTCTTCCATTCATTATAGTGGTTCGCCTCTAAGACATTACATTATTTTTTTAATGAAGTTACGGTGCTGAAATTTGTTGACTCGGCTAAAATGATAGTAAATCGTATTTGACCTATTTACCTGGTCCATTGGTTGGCTTGGGAGCTGGTGGTGAGAGAAAGAGAGAGAGAGAAAATTAAAATGTTAATCACATGCTGTGCAGACGTCAACTAAGTACAGGGCCCGTCCCCCCGCTTAACAGTCAGACGTACGTCGTGGTCCAATGGTCAGGGACTAAGGGACGCCTCGTGGCATCTAGGTGCTTTTCATTTTAGGCATATGGATTGCGAGGCAAATTGAGAGACATATTGCCAAATATATAATTTATGCCTATATTGTACACATTAATTAATGATAGAACCACAAACAGCATGCCACACTCAAGTATCGCATCGTTGCATATAATCTGTACACATGTGTGCTACTTCATAAAATTGAGTTCACAAACTTGTGAGACGGATTTGGCTGATCGTAAAGTAAAAAATTCATATCACCAATGAACTTGTGCACAATTTGGTGGTATGTCATTTTTTTTCCATAAAACATCGCGGCTGCCAAAATTAGATTGTATGGTGTTGGTGAAATCTTGATTTCTATGTAATCTAGCTTGTATAATGTTCTAGATACTTTGATTTCTATGTAATCTAGCTTGCATAGTGATGATGAAATATTTTTTTCTATGTAATCTAGCTTGTATAATGTTCTAGATACTTTGATTTCTATGTAATCTAGCTTGCATAGTGATGATGAAATCTTTTTTTCTATGTAATCTAGCTTGTATAATGTTCTAGATACTTTGATTTCTATGTAATCTAGCTTGCATAGTGATGATGAAATCTTTTTTTCTATGTAATCTAGCTTGTATAGTGTTCTAGCTATCTTGATCTCTGTGTAATCTAGTTTTTTATGGCGTTCTAAGATACTTGGATTTCTATGTAATCTAGCTTGTAGTGGTCTAGATATCTTCATTTTTAATGACTCATTCAATGACTCACTTGTGGTTGGAGCTTGTGTGGTTGTCGTTGTAGTAGTAGGCGTGGTGGTCGATGTGGTGGTCGGCGTTGTGGTGGATGTTGTGGTGGACGGTGTGGTAGAAGCTGATGTTGTCACTGTTATCGTGACACCCGTGCCGGCTGTGGCACCACCAATATCCAAGCTGGCCGTCGCCTTGGGCACAATATCGCCATTTCCTGGAGACGAAGAGATGACGTCATTCAAAAAAATAATCGAGTTTTCTTGTTTTAGGATCATAAAATAATGACTTGCACTTTTAGTTAGAGAGTATGAAACAAAAAATTATTGCTGGATCTAGTATGAAAATTGCCACACATCAACATAATGATTATTTACTTTTTGACAAGACGTGCAATGATAAAAAGTAGGTCAGAAATTTAAAATAATTTTTAAAGATTAGTTAAAATTTAAAAAAAACAACAACAAAAAAACCCCGATAAAATCGATTGTCTGTATAATGAAGTAATAAACAAGTTACGTGAGTTCCAGTATAACCTGTTTTAATTAAGTACACCTGAAATATTTGCTACTAATCGTCCATTCCGAATGAGAAGATTTTTAAAAATGAATTTAAAAAAAGCAAAAGTTTTTTTAAAAATGAATTAAATATATTATATCATTTGCACCCGAAACAATAGTCTAAATCTAAGGCCACGGAAGCAATATTCTAATGCACCTTCTCTCACTATATAAATGTACTCTTTCATCATAAAAATCTTTGGCTTATTTCGAGCATGTTATAATTTCGAATTGTCATCATACAGCCCAAAAGAAGCTTAGAGAGTACGAAGGTCGAGATTTTTAATTATATAAAATTGTAAATAGGCGGCCCTAAAGTCCACTGACCATGACCCTGGAAGGTCAAACACACTTTCTCTCCCACGTGCTCGTCTTTGTTCCAGGCTTTGTTGGTCAGAACATAAACTTTGCCGCCATCCGATGTCTCTTTGATGTCAGCCGCCCACACCTATTGCAAGAGAATTCCATAAAGTTTTACAATCAATTTACCAGAGGGGGCTGATCTACAAATGTCTATGAACTCAATCTGCCGTCATGAAAAGCTCACGCATTGTCCCCCTTTATATACCTGGTCTTTTAAAAATGTACCTACGTTAATTATATTCAAACTAGCAGAGGCACGCGACAATATTTACTCTCAAGGGGTGTCAAGATAGCAACATAAGAACTTTGAGAGCAGTCTGGGGAAATCCACATCCAGGGCCATATCCACTTTTGTGGGAGCAAATACATGTCTAAATGGGCGTCCGGGAGCAGCGCCGTACAAACCCGAGAAGGGCCGCACCAGCGTGCACCCAATTTTTGACAAATGATGAGTAAGTTGTGTCTCGGTGAATTCTCGACGGAACACAAACAACAAGCACCATCTCGTTTAAACCTTTTCACATCCCACACACTTTCCTCGGACCACCCGGGTCTCCGGATCCAAACATTCCCCATGGCCTGAAATCCGTTTCTTCCATTCTAAACAATCTCAGGAACACATCTATCAAAAAAACATTTCACAACATCCTTCATAGTTATGAAATCTCACACCATATGACACACAACATCGCCCTACTACAATAAGGATATTTTCTTTAAAAAAAAATAATAATTGCTTGTTTATACCGAAACATAGTTTAAACCTAGGTCAGGACTCTTAATGGCATACTTGAAGAGTGTTGCCAATGATAGCATCTGACTGGTCGAATGTCTAATGTCTGATCTTGTGATTGGATACCATCGTCACTTAGAATGTACACCCTGGCAATATGTTAATATTAAAACTAAGTAAAACACTCACATCCATGCTGGCGATGGGCTGGTCAAAGTTGACTGTCATGGTCCACGAATGAATGTCTGCAGTCACCGGGATGCAAACGTCTCCCTGGAACCCCCCGCTCCAGTGTGATGTGATGGTCACGTCGGTGTCCGCCCTGACGGTCAGCAGGACAGCGGACAAAAAGCAAACCAACGTCCTGTTTAGGATGAGAATAAATAGGGAAGATGAGAATACATAGGGAAGATGAGAATAAATAGGGAAGATGAGAATAAATAAGGAAGATGAGAATAAATAGGGAAGATAAGAATAAATAAGCAAGATGAGAATTAATCGGGAAGAATGAGAAAAAATAGAGAAGATGAGAATAAATAGGGAAGATGAGAATTAATAGGGAAGATGAGAATAAATAAGGAAGATGAGAATAAATAAATAGGGACGATGAGATGAAAATAGGGAAGATGAGAATAAATAAGCAAGATGAGAATTAATCGGGAAGAGGAGAATAAATAGGGAAGATGAGATTTAAAAGGGAAGGTGAGAATAAATAAGGAAGATGAGAATAAATAATAAAGATTAGAATAAATAATGAAGATGAGAATAAATAGGGAAGATGAGAATTAATAGGGAAGGTGAGAATAAATAAGGAAGATGAGAATAATTAAGGAAGATGAGAATAAATAAGGAAGAATGAGAATAAATAGAGAAGATGAGAATTAATAGGGCAGGTGAGAATAAATAAGGAAGATGAAAATAAATAGGGAAGATGAGAATAAATAGGGAAGATGAGAATAAATAGGGAAGATGAGAATAAATAAGCAAGATGAGAATTAATCGGGAAGAGGAGAATAAATAGAGAAGATGAGAATTAATAGGGAAGGTGAGAATAAATAAGGAAGATGAGAATAAATAATGAAGATGAGAATAAATATGGAAAATGAGAATAAATAGGGAAGATGAGAATTAATGGGGGAGATGAGAATTAATAGGGACGATGAGAATAAATAAGGAAGATGAGAATAAATAGGGAAGATGAGAATAAATAAGCAAGATGAGAATTAATCGGGAAGAGGAGAATAAATAGAGAAGATGAAAACTAATAGGGAAGGTGAGAATAAATATGGAAGATGAGAATAAATAGGGAAAATGAGAATAAATAATGAAGATGAGAATAAATAGGAAAGATGATAGTTAATAGGGAAGGTGAGAATAAATAAGGACGATGAGAATAAATAAGGAAGATGAGAATAAATAGGGAAGATGAGAATAAATAATGAAGATGAGAATAAATAAGAAGGAATGAAAATAGGTAGAGAAGATGAGAATAAATAGGGAAGATGAGAATTAATAGGGAAGATGAGAATAAATAGGAAGATGAGAATAAATAGGGAAGATGAGAATAAAAAAGCAAGATGAGAATTAATCGGGAAGATGAGAATAAATAGGGAAGATGAGAATTAATAGGGAAGATGAGAATAAATAGGGAAGATGAAAAGTAATAAGGAAGATGAGAATAAATAATGAAGATGAGAATAAATAGGGAAGATGTGAATTGATAGGTAAGGTGAGAATAAATAAGGAAGATGAGAATAAATAAGGAAGATGAGAATAAATAGGGAAGATGAAACTAAATAATGAAGATGAGAATAAAAAGGAAGAATGAGAATAAATAGAGAAGATGAGAATTAATAGGGAAGGTGAGAATAAATAAGGAAGATGAGAATAAATAGGGAAGATGAGAATAAATAGGGAAGATGAGAATAAATAGGGAAAATGAGAATAAATAATGAAGATGAGAATAAATAGGGAAGATTAGAATTAATAGGGAAGGTGAGAATAAATAAGGACGATGAGAATAAATAAGGAAGATGAGAATAAATAGAGAAGATGAGAATAAATAGGGAAGATGAGAATTAATAGGGAAGATGAGAATAAATAGGAAGATGAGAATAAATAGGGAACATGAGAATAAATAAGCAAGATGAGAATTAATCGGGAAGATGAGAAAAAATAGGGAAGATGAGAATAAATAATGAAGATTAGAATAAATAAGGAAGAATGAGAATAAATAGAGAAGATGAGAATAAATAGGGAAGATGAGAATTAATAGGGAAGATGAGAATAAATAGGAAGATGAGAATAAATAGGGAAGATGGGAATAAATAAGCAAGATGAGAATTAATAGGGAAGATGAGAATGAATAGGGAAGATGAGAAGTAATAAGGAAGATGAGAATAAATTGGGAAGATGAGAATTAACAGGGAAGATGAGAATTAACAGGGAAGATGAGAATTAACAGGGAAGATAAGAATTAACAGGGATGATAGTATAAATGAGGAAGATTAAATATCAGTTGCATTTTCAACCCATGACAAAAGGCCGAGAAAATAAACAGTGACCAAGAAGTTGGTAACTTATTTTTTGCCATTGACACATTCAACTTACAAGTAAGTCAAATTAAGATCTTAACATCCGAACTTCGATACCGTGAGCGTGTTAAACAGAATAGGAAATATACCCTTTCCGGGTATTGAGAGTCTAAGATGTCTGCGTGACTCCTATTATTGCCATCGGAAATAATAATTTTCTCTTTGACTCGTGTTCAATCATAAAACTTTTTTTTTTTTAAGAATCCTACTTGTGACCCTACCTTTAGGTGCGTGACGTCAGCAACACTGTGAAAGTATTGGTCAAGAACCTCAGAACCCACAGGTTGGGAATCGAACAAAAGATATTCTGAAAACCTAATCCGCTCTTTAATTTGATTCCCCCCCCCCCTTTTTTTTTCATTCGTTATAGTAAAAAAAAAAAAATGTAGAATTTCCATAGCATCGAGATATACTTTCTGCCATTCCGTCACAATTACAGTAGCATGCATCTTGACTAAACATTTTTCTGGCTATTAAACAACTTTGCTTATGATTTAAAATTAAAAAAAGGTCTCAGACGTGATTACCTCATTTCAGAAGAAATTAATAAATGGTTATAATTTGAATTCTCGACTTATCTTTATATGGACTAACCCCTGACCTCAGATCTATAAATAGAAGACGGGTCAATCAGATGCTCTGAGTTCTTGAGCCGCATCAAAACATCGGCTTAATGTAGAAGAAGATCGACAGTTTCGAATTGAAGGTGGGCGTTTTAATTGTAACGTACCTGGCCGATGGTTGAGATAAGTTGATTTATGTGGCTCATTCGTGCACCCTCAGTTCTCAGCGAAATTAACTTTAAAAAGTGCACGGAAACGATTTATATATGATCTATTATATATTTTCCTGGGACATGACGCGGTCTAAAAAGTCTCAGTACAGCCATTGGGACATGACGTGGTCTAAAAAGTCTCAGTACAGCCCTTGGGAATGGCGTTGTCTAAAAGCTCTCAGTACAGCTCCTGGGACATGACACATTAATGTCCTCTAAATCAGTCTTTCCTTATGTAGTGGTCGGAGAACCGGCCACTGTCTGCGTTCGTTCAAAATGAGACAATAAACTTAAACACAGTCAAATAAAGTTAAACTGCTTCACAAAAGCAAAAAACAAAAACAAAAAAAAAAAAAAAAAAAAAAAAAAAAAAAAAAAAAAAAAAAAAAAAAAAAAAAAAAAAAAAAAACAAACTCAAACGGTAACTTCAATAGAGTCTTGTGGAAGGCGGATTTAAAAAACATATTTTTGACATGTTTAGTGTCCATTAAAAAGATACAATGAATGAATAAATCTGGCTTGGGCCTACGATGCAAGGTGAAACCTCTCCACTGGTCCGCCAAACTTAAACGTTTGGGAAACACTGGTCAACAATAAGAGACAATACTCGACATATAATATCTAAAAGTGCAGAACTTAAAAAAAAAAAACCAATAAGGTGACGCAAAGGAAAATAATTTAAGGAATGCATTCAAGCTGTGTGAAGGAAATAGCAGGACAGGCTATGTGTAAGGTTGAAATAGAAAGACAGGACAATAAAAGATGAACGTTTCGGCTAAGAGCCTTCGTCAGCAGGCAGGGCAAGTAAAGAAACAACAAGAAATAGAAAGTATTTTTTTTTTTAAACTTAAGAACTTATTGTTCTTGCCTGAGGTTGGATTTTTCAAAACTTAGATTACAGTAAGTTTAAAGAATTTTTACTGTGGAAAAAAAAAAGATTTTAATGGGACAAAAATATTTTCAAAATATTTAAAATATGAGGAATAAAAAACGGAAAATTGTGGATCGCTAATGAGAGAGAATTTGATTGATTCCAAATAGTGATAAAATGCCGCAATAGGTAGAACAAAGTGTTAAAAATTAATTTTTTTAAAAGGTGGGATTTTTAATTTTTTTCAAATGCACACTTTCCCTCATTACAACTCAGTTATACAACCGAAATTATTAACATAATGTAAAGTTGGGGGGGGGGGGACTTTCAGCACTCCATATTGTCTATGGACAGGAGTCTCCAAACTACGGCCCCCGGGACGGATACGGCCCATGAGGCCCTCTCATCCGGCCCCTGGAGACGTTTTGTCAACGGAAAAAATTACTGAAATGTCCGTGTATCCTGCCAAGATCAGCCGCCGATTACGTGGACGTTATGTTTTTACCGAATTAAAATAGAGGCGCGCAGTAGTGCGTTGTGTTTTCCAACCGATCACTACATTGCACTGTATTTTTCCCCAGCAAGCTTTGTCTGCTAAATATGTTGACATTGGCAGTGTACTGAAACCTGTGGTGAAGATGGTGAATTTAATAAGGTCACATGGGCTAACCATGGACAGATCAGAGACATGTTTAAAGATACATACACAGAATTGCAAGATTTACCTTATTACACAGCAGTAAGATGGCTAAGTTATGAGAAAGTTCTTAGTAGAGTATTTAAGTTAAGAAAGGAAATAGGTGACTTCCTGGAAAGTAAAGGCAAGCCACAACCATTAGTGTCTGATGAAAAGTGTGTTTGGAAATTGGCCTTTGCTGCAGACATAACTAGTCATTTAAATGTAATCCTAGAACTACAAGGAGAGGAAAATCTAGTTTCTGATCTATGCAACCACCTAAAGGTCTTCAGATCCAAACTCGTCTTGTTTTTGGAACAAGTACAGGCCAACACCATGACACACTTTCAGCAGTGGACGGTCTTCATGGCTGAAGCAACAGCGGAGTTCCCCACGTCATTTGCATGCGAGATCATCAACGACCTCTATCTGTAGTTTCAGCGGCGGTTTTCTAACTTGTATTCAAAGGCAGAAGAAGTGAGACTGTTTCAAAACCCATTTGAAGCAGATGTGGCCAGTTGCCCAAATGAACTGCAGCTGGAGGTCATTGAGTAGCAAGCAAATGACCTCCTTAAGGACACGTTCAAAGAAGGACTGGTGGGTTTTTACCAGTTTTCGCCCAAGGAAGACTTTCCTAATATCAGAACTTTTGCTTCAAGGTACCTTTCAATCTTTGGAACAACATACCTGTGTGAACAAACATTTTCAAGAATGAAATACGTGGAGAACAATTTGAGAACAAACTTGTCCGATGATAATCTCAGGTCACTGTTGATGTTAGGGAGATCATATCTAAAGCCAGCAATGTCTGCTAATTTAGTATCCAGGAAACAATTTCACCATTCCCACTAATACAGGTGTTCATGTGTCATGTATTTATGTGTCATTAAATGATAACTGAATAAAACAATAGTAAATGAATATTTAAAAACAACATCCATGTTTTGATTCTTTTTTATTTAGACCTCGAGGGTGTGGTCGGCCCCCGAAATGCTGTTAGATAGTTAGTGTGGCCCTTGGGCTGAAAAGTTTGGAGACCCGTGGTGTAGGACAGTATGTGTTTCAAATTATCTCAACAACAATCGATTGTTTAACATGGCTCTCATTGAAACAAATAAGCTGTTTTTTTTTACTGTCTCTTCGTGTGTGTGTGTGTGTGTGTGTGTGTGTGTGTGTGTGTGGTTTTTATGAGCTGTTTTTTTTACTGTCTCTTTGTGTGTGTGTGTGTGTGTGTTTGTGTGTGTGTGTGTGTGTGTATGTGTGTGTTGGAGTCTTGTAGTACATCTAGCTTGGCAAGATAAATATTTTTGGGAATTTCCGAAGCAAACAGAATGATAACCCAGTATACCCAGTTGGATCAGAACACATTAATGTACTACTAATCCCTATTAATGTACTCCAAATTCCCCTTAATGTACTCCCAAGTCCCATTTCTGCACTCCTAAGTTCCATTAATGTGCTCCCAAAACCATTAATGAATTCCAAATCCCGATTAATGTACTCCCAATCCCCATTGATATGCTCCAAATTCCTATTAATGATCCCCAGTCCCAATTAATGTACTCCCAATCCCAATTTATGTTCTCAAAATCCCCATTAATGTACTCCAAATCCCTATCAATGTACTCCCAATCTACATAAATTTACTCTTAATCGCGATCAATGTCCTCCTAACCCTATTAATCTACTCCCAATCACCATTAATGCACTCCCATCCGTATTAATGTTCTTCCAATTCCCATTAATGTACTTCCAATCCTCATCTGGTATGGAACTCACCTGGCAATCAGAGCAGTCTAACTTTCTTAAACTGTTCACTCAAAGATCTGACATCATGTAACGGTTACATTCAAAACGACAGTAGACATTAATTGCACAGTTTTAAATAAAAAGCTTTAGTAGACAGATTTCTCGTTCACTCAAACTCTCTCTATCTCTCTGTCTCTTCTTCTCTCTCCTTTGTCTCTCTTTTGTCTTTCTCTCATTTCTCTCTCTATTCTCTTTCTTTCTTTCTCGTTATCTCTTTCTCTCTCTATTCTCTTTCTCTCATTTCTCTCTCTATTCTCTTTCTCTCTCTATTCTCTTTCTTTCTTTCTCGTTATCTCTTTCTATATCTTTCTCCCTGCCTCTCTCACTTTATTCTCTATCTCTATTTTCCTTCTCTCTCTTCTCTTTCTCCCTCCATCTCTTTCTTTCTCTATTTCTCTCTATTTCTCTCTCTTTTCTGTTTCTCTCTCCTTTTTCTTTCTCTTTTTATCTCTCTATTTCTCTCACTTCCTGTCTCTCTATCTCTCCTTCGCTCTCTCACTCTCTATCTCTCTCTTTCTATCTCTGTATCGCTCTTTCTTTCTCTTCCTCTCTCTCTCCTTCTCTTTCGCTGTCTTGCTGTATGAGATGGAGGCCAATACAATAAAAAATTATAAAATAAACTCGCCACTATTTCAGTTTCTGCTGCGTTCTAACCTTTCAACTTCAAGATATATAAATATATTATATTATATTGCAGGTATGTGAGAGCAGCGGTTTTGTTGCGGCTTACACACCTTACTCCCTTTCCCCGCTTTCCTGTTGTGACTATATTTTTATTTATTTTTTTAATTCTTTAGACTTACGATAAAATTCTAGATTTTGCCGCCTACATGCTCAACTCCAAAGGGAGATAAAGACTTTTCAATTCAACCCACGATACACAATCTGGGCCAGGGGGTCGAGGAGCATTTGTTTACGCTAGCGATGACCCCCCTTACGCCCCCACACACACATACACTTTTCCTGTCGCATTCAAGGGGACACAATCTTAAATGAATTAAAATTAAAACGTGTTTCTTGAAGGTGTGGATTTCTTGGATGAAATGCTCTCCCCCCCCCTCCCCAGGTTGTAAAGAAATACGGGTTCACTGTGGAAACAATAGCAGCTCAATAACAGCTCAATAACAGCTCAATAACAGCTCAATGACAGCTCAATGACAGCTCAATAACAGCTCAATGACAGCTCAATAACAGCTCAATAACAGCTCAATAACAGCTCAATGACAGCTCAATAACAGCTCAATAACAGCTCAATAACAGCTCAATAACAGCTCAATAACAGCTCAATAACAGCTCAATAACAGCTCAATAACAGCTCAATAACAGCTCAATAACAGCTCAATAACAGCTCAATGACAGCTCAATAACAGCTCAATAACAGCTCAATAACAGCTCAATAACAGCTCAATAACAGCTCAATGACAGCTCAATGACAGCT